TAATGCACCTAAGACTATAATCCTACGAAACCAAATCTTATCAATACAATACATCCGAACAATTCGGACACTAACGCTCATAATGCTCCTCTTAGCGTTTAAAATTAATTACTGGCTTGCACAATGTATATATGTTTTTTCGTCATAAATGGCTTCAATTGCTTGCATAAGCATGAGCTCATTATTTTATTAAGTACAGTCGATCTCTAAAATGGCTTAAAGTAATGGGGCATTTACATACATACCATCTAATTCTAATGTATTTACAAATTTTGTAACACCTAAACTTTGCTTTTTATATTTTATACCACCCAAAATTTTCATGTCACATCTAAAATACTATTATCTAAACTATAAAGAAGTGAACCACACATTTTTATATGGTGCCATATATATGTATATATATGTAAAAATTGAAGTGTAGACTTTAGATATGTAAATACATAAGAATTGAGTGCTCATACGTCGCTTTTTTAAGGTTAAAATGTTGGTAATTTTGATATGATATGAAAGATTGGGCGGTATAAATATAAAAAAGTAAAAGTTTAGGGGTTTCATATATAAAAGCATATGAATTGGGTGTTATGTATGTAAGTGCCCCTAAATTTTAATAATTTTTAAGATAACTTAATACATTTGCAAAATGTTTTCTTAATTTAGGTTATATAAAACATTTAAAATTATCCTGCAAACACTAAATTTAATTTTACATTATATGGGCCTTTTGGTTTGCTTCCTTATTATGTTAAAAAAAAAAAAACAGCAATTCCACTCTATTTTACTTCTCTAATATCTAAATTTTAATTTTTATATTTATGCCATGTTACATGCCTGAAAAGCTGGAGAAATATGTGCGTATGAAAAGCGTACGCAGAGTTGCGTATATTTTAAGCCTTTCGGAGGGTACAGTCAGGTTACACTTAGGTTACAAGCGAGGTATAACCTAAGTGTAATCTGACTGTACCCCTCAAAAAACTTAAAATGTACGTAACTCTGCATATGCTTTTCGTACGCAAATATTTCCCGAAAAGCTGTGCTTTCACTTTGTTAAAGTTAGTATTTGAAATATTTTTGGTATGATATGAATAATTTGAAGGGTATAAATATAAAAATAAAAAATGTGATGATAGCTGTAAATATATAAGAATTTTGTGCTATGTGTATAAATGTCGCTACATTAAAAGTATATTCTTTTTAGAAGCGTAAAAAGTTATATTTTTTCCACCTGTCACGTGATATTTTTGGGTTAGTTTAGTTAACAAGTTTCCTGTAGAAGCCATCCATATTCGCTACTGTATAGATGAATAAATAAATAATATAATTGCTAGATGGTATTAACAAATATAAAACAGAAAAGAAGATAATTGTGTATTATTCCGTATTTATTATTAAATTGGAAAAGAATATTCTGCTTTTTTTAGTTTTATCGATAGTTTATTGTATATTATAATTAGTTTAATATTTATACCTATTATAATAAAAAATAAATATGAGTGGCTGGTCCAGTCTATCATATAGAAAACCTTTTCGGGCTGTGAACCACCCATAACTGATGGAACTAAGGGTGTAAATAAGCCGAATACGAGCGAGCCCAGACTCAGCTCGTGTTTGACTAATTTATATTTCTAGCTCAAAATATGTGTTTGTGTTCAGCTTGTTTTCTTAGAGAGTCGAACATGAGCTATTCAGTAACAAAGAGTCGTTTTGACAACCCTTATGACGTAACCATAAGATGTTAAAGGTTGGGGCAAGATTTAAAAATTATTGTTTATATTAAAACATCATTTGAATCAAATTTAATAATTGTTATTCTATTTCTTAATTAATACTTTTAATGGATAATACATTTTTGTAGCCTTGTAGTCAATTAAATTTTTTAGAGTTACCACTCATCAATATATATATATATAATTGATTAGTAGTATTTCGAGCCAAAACGAGTTGAACATGAAAGAACAAATCTTTGTTCGTGTTCGGCTCATTAACTTAGCGGATGAGTCGAACACGAGCTACTCATGAAGAACGAGTCGTTTTGACAACCCTAGGTGGCACCGACAGTTCAATCTGTGAACTAGCGAATTGATCAAACCACTAACCGGCCATGCACGATAAATCGCCAGCCAGTTTAAGGTCACTGCATCAAGACATAAGAACGCTACTCTTACATAGGCTCGTGCCGCAGAGCTTTACGCCCTTCAAATCCTAGCTAATAGAATTCTTGATTATTATGATTTGTTTTTTTTTTTATATTTGTCCTCACTACATCATTATTTTTCATTTATATCATATTTAGTTAATATTCATATTTATTCATAATTCCATTTAACCCTCTCGTCAACTCAGACAGAAACAATAAAACTTAACATTTTCTTCAAATTTTCAAAACTCAGAAAATAGCAGCTCACGTAAAACAACATATAATAAAACAGATTATTCATGCCACGGCACAAAAACTTTTCAAAGTAAAGCTAACATAGAAGCTTTAGTGGACGGTAGGAATCCCCGCTCTTTCCCGGAAGCCCATCTCCCCATCTTTGTTTTGTAGCTCCTTCAAAAAGCACCATTCCACCTCACATATGGCAGTTGATTTTGGCTACCTGACATCATAGCCCAGCTTCCTCTTTCCTTCTACCTCTCTTCCAAGACCAAACCCTTAAATAACTTTCCTCCTCTCCTCTCCTCTTCCATCACTAACTCAGAGCCAAGCTTTCTTCTTCAACTCCCCTCCAAAATTTCTCTTACCAAAACAGAAAAGAAAAGCCCATGGAGAAGAAGCCTGCAAGCAGTCTTCTTTCTTCAGAACTCATAGCTATTCTCATCTTACAGTTCTTCGTTTCTTGTTTTGTTAGATTACTTAAGATATCTTCAAGTTTTCTTTCCCTTCCTTACCGTTCAAGAATTCACATCGAGCAAGCAGAACCAAAGCGCCATCTAAAGGAAGCAATAAGAACAGAGCAGGAAATACTTGTATGTAGAGAAGATGCAGAGTTGGTCATGAAGAAGATGGGGCTGATCGGAGAAGATGAGAAGCTCAAGGAGTTCGTGGTGTCGGAGGAAGTTGTTTCCATGTTCGAAGAGAAGGAGCCAAGTTTAGAGGAAGTAAGGGAGGCTTTTGCTGTGTTTGATGAGAACGGTGATGGGTTTGTGGAAGCAGGGGAGTTGCAGAGAGTTCTCTGCAAGTTTGGGTTTGTGAGAGAAGTTGGATTGGATTTGTGTAAAGTGATGATTTTGCTACATGATGAGGATGGTGATGGGAGAATAGACTTTAGCGAGTTTGTCAAGTTGATGGAGAGCAGCTTCAGCTGAATAGTTGGTTGATGATGCTTCTCTCGTTTTAAGTTTTTTTTTTCTTTTTTCAGGTAAATTGATGTATGAATGCTCTCCGTAAGATTAGTAAATAAATTTAAAATATCGCACAGAGGAAAAAAGAAGGAAACTTGTATTTTACTTCTATGCTCTGTGCTCACAATTCAAACAGGAGTTTTTTTGACTGATTTTGTGAAAGTTTAAAGAGATATATTTGGTAGAAGGATTTCACGCAGATGCAGAGGACAGAACATGGAAAATTAATAAGATTCTTTGTATAAGATAATGATTAATAGAACTGGGATTTTGGAAGAACTTTGCCTATAAAAATATTGATATTTTGGTTCTTATAAGTCCTGCTCAAACACCTAATCTCCCTTTCTCTCTCCTAAATTTATTTTTTCACTAATTAGCTATAGTCCTCTAGTATGTATGCCCACACATCTCACAGAAGTGGCAGACCTAAGTATGGTCCAGGGGGCAATTGATTGCCCTCAAGTTCAGGTTTTTACTTCTATTGGAGGGCAATTTGGTCTTTTGCCTTGCCCTCAAGCCCCCCACCCCCTCCCCCTCTCATGCACTCAAATTTAGAATTGCACTAATATTGGAGGACAATTTAGTTTTTTGTATCTCCTGAAAATACCAGTTTTGCCCCTTCTGAAGCCCCTACATTCATTGTTGTCGTAGCCCCTCCCACGTTGAGTCTAGGGGGCCCATTTGTCTCCTCTCAAAGAAGAGGTGTGTTCCGTTTGTCTCAAACTTTCTTTATATCTCATATTTTGATAAATATATATAAAATCTTAATCAGACCTTCCATATCATCTTCTTTGATTCCAGATTATTCTTTTAGTGTTTAAGAACATTCAAGAGCTTGGAATAGAATAATCATGCTCATTGGACTCTTCTTATCAAGCTACTTGAGTCAACTGCAAGTCAAATTCGGAGGTCATTTAGTACCTTAATTATTGCTTTGAAGCTTAAAATTATACTTTATGCATTTGATTTGAGCACATTTGAACTTGGATTGAACTAACATTCAATGACCTTTAGTTAACTCTTGTTTTAGCGTTTAATTTGACTATAAATGTGATGAAATTGGTGGATGGATAGAAAATTTTATTTTTAAAATTTTTTAACTCAAATTGCATCAAAATTCATACTTTATTAGATGATTCTCTTGATGATATATCATTTACCTTTCTCTTTTTGAAAATGGAAGCTTATTTTGTCAAAAAATATATATTTAAAATTCTTAAAATTTTTAGATACAAAATTAAAATCTTATAATAATTATAAGGCAAACTTGCTCTTTAGACTTTAATGTTAATATTCTCTTAAGATTGTGAATTAATAGTTTTCTTAATCATACTTCTAATTATTCTTGACGTAAGCACATTATTAGAGTATGAATTGTTGAAGAAAAAAATATTTTCAATTTTCTCAAAATTAATTATAGTTGCTCTAATTTTTTTTTTTTTAAATAAAATTTGGAAAGTAGTGGAATGGGTATGTCGGAGTTCAAAGTTGACTATTACGATCGACACAACTAACAAGGGCATGTGAGCCCGTATACAGTTGTGCAATAATCAGCACTTAGGCAGACATGTAGCCGCACTTGCAGAGCGGGCAATATGCGAAGGCACACATTCAACTGCACTTGTAAACACATGAGCTATCATCAAGTCACTCTCATAACGATTGTTGTAATTTTTAGGAGTTTTTTCATTGAAACATTTGAGAAAAAAAATATTCAAATTTGAACATTTTGAATATTTATATTTATTTATAAGAATTCCAAATTTATTTTTTAAAATAAATGTAGAAAATTGTCTAAACATTCCAAATCTGCTGTGAAATATTATAAAAAAATTATAACTCCTCTTCTCGCCTCCAAGTATAAATTCCAACTGATATAGATGACAACAATTTGTATCAAAATTTTGTTTGGATCTGAGGAAGAATGATGACCACATATGAAGTGAAGCTTTCAGAAATTGAGAAATTTGATGTCACTGGAGGAAGAATGATGACCACATATGAAGTGAAGCTTTCGGAAATTGAGAAATTTGATGTCACTGGACCTCTATGAGAAGAAACTTCATCTTCCGTCATTGGAGAAAAAAGCCTGAAAGAATGGATGAGACTGAATGTAATATGTTGGATCGACAGGTTATGGGAGTTATTTGATTGACCCTATCGACATATCTCGTGGCAGTGATATGTATGAAAAGTCATCGGTAAATAACAATGTGCACTTGATGAAGAAGTTATTCAACTTGAAGATGACGGAAGGTGTTTATGTTGCTCAACACCTGAATGATTTCAATACTATCACAAATCAATTGTCATCTGTTGAAATTGATTTTGATAATGAGATACATGCACTAATAGTGTAGGCATCATTGTCAAATAGTTTATTGTCAAATAGTTGGGAAGCCATGAGGATGACATTTAGCATTTCTACAAATAAATCTAAACTGAAAGATGATGATATTCGTGATTTGATTTTGGCTGAGGAGGTGCGCACGAAAGATTCTCGCGAGATCTCAAGTTTGAGTTCGACATTGAATGTTGATTTTAGATGGAGATGATATGACAAAAATTCAAATAAAGGAAGATCAAAATCAAAGTTTGGTCAGCAAACAACCTGCTGGATTGTGGCAAGGCTGTCCACATAAAGAGAAACTGCAGGAATCCCAAGAAGATAGAGAATAGTAGCGCAAATGTGGTATTTGGAGAAGTACGTGATGCATTATTGCTAACAGTTCATAATTCTGTTAATGATGAAGTCATGGAAGTGAAGAGGAGAGTGGATCTGGGGCACCCATTCTTATTATTCCACAAACAGATTATGAAGATGCACGGTGCTATGAAAAAACCTTGCAAGATAAAAGTTCGAGCAAGTGGGAGCTAGCAGAACTTCTACCAGGGAAGAATGCATTACACAACAAGTGGGTGTACCAGGTGAAAACTGAGCATGATGACAGTAAGAGGTACAATGCTAGACTTGTTGAAAAAAACTTTCAGCAAAGGTAGGATATTGCCTATGTAATGAGAGTTGTAAGCAGAGACATGGGTAATTCATAAAATAGCTTGGAGGTCCAAAGCTATGTTGACCCTGCTGATATGTTGACTGAAGGTGTTACTCTTAAGAAACTTCAATTGGTCTTTTAGAGTGAAGGCAGAAGCTTTAAGTTGCAGAGGTGGAGGATTCAGGTTTGAAGAAAAGGGTGACACCGCCAGTGAAGGATATTAGTTTGAGGAAAAAGATTTTGCAATCTATGTACCAGTCTCCAAGAGGGAGATTTGTTATGTTGGAGCCCGATCCAACCTCTCCCGCTTCCGCTCCCCTGGATCGCGAACCATTCCCGCTCTTGTCTCCCACTCGGTCGCGAACTGTTCCTGCAAACAGTCCGTTGCTTCGACAAGAGTCGCCCCTCATGCTTTATCGTGACAGTTCCCTCTTCCTATTCGGGATAAAAGACATTGTGAGGTGGTTCTCCTTCAATTTCTAAGTCACGACCTTTGTGTTCTTCTTCGGACTTCCTCAGAATAGAGGAAGAGAAGTGCAAGCAGTAGTTCCTTGCGCCAGAAAGAAGAAGAAAGAAGAAGAAGAAGATTGTTCTCCCTTGACTTCTTCTTAGTGGCTTGTATAAGAAGAGAAATTGGGTTTATTTCTCTTGTAAGTTTGTCTTCTTCGGTGTACCTCGGTGTAGGGAGAGAAGAACAAAGAGAGAAGAAGAGAGAGCAACAAACTGAGAGATTCCTCTTGTAAGCCAAGATGATCAACTGGTATAAATTCCTCAAGTAGTAAATTTTTTTGCAACTTTGTGGACGTAGGCAACTTGTCGAACCACCTAAATCTGTGTTTTCGTTTTGTTATTATTTTCTGGTGTGAATTTTCTCGTTCTATTTTTTCGCTTCGTCAAAGATTGTTCTCCTATTATATATATATAATATATATATATATATATACATATATATCGCTTAAATTGGTATGAGAAAGTCCACGAAAAGCCGCCTAACCTATCGCTTTCCTCTAGCACGCAATCCTAGCCATAGAATCTCTATCAATCAGACCTGGATGGCTTGCATGGAACGAAAATGTGAGATTTTTAAAGAGATCTCACCATTGTGATAGGTGCAGTCGTATTCTCTTTGCTTGTCCAAACAGTGAAAGCCTGAATCACACACCGACGCACCTCATAAAACCTGCATTAAACAATGGAATGAACAAGTGAGGGCAGGAGGTATATGAGTGCCAGAGTTGTCGGTGAAGAAGGGAGCTTCGGGAGCCCAGTTTTAAAGCGACGAGAGAGAGCCGAGTGATTGTTTCAGGTTCGTGTGAGATGAGGAGAAAGCCAACAAAGAGGAGTGCCAAAGCAGGAAGGTTCATCAAAATGATATAGAGGACGATAAGGCGACGACAATAACAAGAGGCGTCGTGCAAGGTGTTCAAACCCTAGGGCATCAAGTGAAAGGGAGGTGGCTCTCTAGGGCCTACGTGTGAAAAAATTCCACTGTAAGAGATTTAAAATTTTTTAATATATTATATATATTTATATTTTTTTAATTTATGTTCTTTGATTTGCACTTTACTAGCTCATACACAAAACCCCATGAATATGGGTGTTCTCCTTAAGTAAAATTGACATTCCAGACAAGCTCGAGCACTCTGTATTGTCATCCACAAGTCTTCTATAAAACATCATTGACGATCGAACCAATTTACGCTTGATTTACGTGCGATGTAACTAATGGAATCTTTTGGTCCAATCAAAGCCGTCCGACATGCATAATGTCAGCCGACCTTTGCCTAAGAAACAACCAAAGTCTAGTAAGAATATCTCGAGAGTGTGCCCGTCAACACATGTCAAACGGTCTTAACAATCCACGTATAAAGCTATTGAAAAATAGGTTTGCATGAAATATAGTCACAGGTCTGGCAAGTTGATATTGGTCTTGATTTCGTGCTCAGGGCATGTATCTGGAGCCCCGATGGGATGTCTTTGACAACGAAAGCTAAACATAGTCTTGTACTTCAAACGAATAATTTGCTTATGTGACATCGAAAATTGATGCCAAAAAACACAACCACAACACCACTATCATCACTTCAGAAGATCAACACAACCACGATACTACTACCACCACCTCCACACACCAACACATCTACACACACACAACCACCACACAACACCACCTCCACACACCAACACATTCACCAACACAAACATAAAC